GTTCAACGGCTAAATACGCCGCTACTACATCTGAAAATAGCAAAGAGAGGGAAAATTTGAACGGTTGTAGGTTGAGATGGAGAGTTGGTGTCCGAGCTGATCGAAATCACGATAGCTCAAGTGGTAGAGTAGCGGTGTATTGAGCCGAAGGTCGTGGGTTCGAATCCCGCTCGTGACACTGACTTTTTATCTCAACCAAGACCGTACATAGAATGAATAATTTATTCACTATGCTGATGCTAGTGTTCCGAATGGCATCTTCCTTGTTTATTTTCAATAAAGACATCAATCTCGATACACTACCTTTTGCTAATGCTGACCTAGTAGTGGTGTTCTGAAACCTGAACTGCTTGGAAGAATGGATTAAGAAATAAAAGATCAGATTAGACCAAAACCAATCCCAGAAACAAAGTTCAACCGGTGCGTACAGAGGCTTGCATAATATAATGTCGATTAAGATACGTATAAAAGCAGAAAGCCATCAACAGATCGAGACACACAAACGGCTGCAGTTAAAAATGAGGCGTGAAAGATAAGAAGAAGAAGCAACAATGCGCAAAGGACCGGCGATGACCTAAGCCGTTTGTCGGCCCTTAAACTTCCCGTGCGTATATTAAAAGAGTCGTTTTGCTTTATTTATTTGAAATTAGATTTTAGTTGTTATTTATTATAGCCCAAACTGAACAACGTTATTTCTATTATTTTATTATGAACTAAAATATTTATATTTTCACATTAAAAACGATTATCTTTTATTATTCCGCACATCCAACATTTTATTAATTTATTTCTGAGGTAAAACATTTCCTACTGTTTGTAAAATTAAGCTCTCAATTGAGGAAAACCTCATTATACGTATTATAAAAATCTATGCTAGAAGTTATAACACTTAAAGTTTAGAAGCTACAACAATTCAGAAGAGTAAAATAATATTACAGGAGCACGGTAAAATGAAAAAATTTGTTTGCACAAAAAAGTACCATGAACATAAATTTGCCATTGAAATATAATCGTATATTTTTTTGCCTTGTTGAAACAAATTTACCTTAACAACATTTCGATAGTAAGATTGTCAAGGATATAAGCAGGGCGCGAAGCAAGTCAATATTTAGAATTGGTCTGCTTCGAACGCAAGTAACCTTCAGGAGTTTTTTCATGTTCCTCCAGTGCTTTTGATGCCTGTAGTTCAAAGGCTGATATTTGATCAAAGTTCAAAAGTTTGGGTTTAATCCCTTGAGTCAATTCCTGTTGTTTAGAACAAGACCAAATTGCAAAACGGTTTCAGTTCAACTAAACATAATCAAAATAATTGAGAACTAATCTTGGCCGTGGTATTCCGGTCACCAAGGTTTCTAACGTAACGGCTTAATGAAGCATTCGAAACCACAATTCCTCGAGTGATAGAATCCGAATCCTGGCTCTAGACTAATTCAGTATCATCGACCAACGAAATCACCTGAACGAGATTGGTGTTCTGTATCTTTCAAGACCCAATCATTCCACTTTTTGTCAAATACTGTGTTTTTATTTGCTTTTTATAAATTTATCGACGCAATTTAAACAAGGTTTGTGTTATGTTCCCCATCATCATTTTTACAGGGGCATTTTTGTGAACTACCCCGAGGCATGTGCATTTTTATTTTTTTTGTCTATTTTCTCATGATTCAATAGTTATGATCTAACTCTCTACCACAGAATGGTACGATGAGCTTAACTATTTCAAATAGCAAGATAGTCATCAATATATAATTCTTTAAAGGTTATGGTTAATGACATATTAGGAATGGTTAATAGGTTTAGGATTAAGTTAGGTGGGAATATGGTTAGGGACAGGTTAAAAAAAATTAGGTCGAGTTAGGGGTCAGGTTAGATATGGGTTTGGTTAAAAATTTTTTCCAGTTTACGTTTCGATACAACAGCTTTATGAATACGAAAATAAAGAAAAATCCATTAAATATAAATTGGCTTGCTATAATGTAATATATATTTATATAAGATAGGTTTTCTTTTTTTGTCGATTCCAATTTTTCCTATCTGTTTCGATTTAGAGACTTTATGAAACTTTTATGTACAAATATTTTTAAAAAATTGAGGTTTTTAAAATCAAGCATCAAGCATGTTTTAAGCAAGCTTTTTTCTGTCACTCTAACGCTTGACCAAAAAGAAACAAAATCTCTTGAAAAAATGTATGTCGACATAGGACTAGATCCCAGTCATAGGCTTTATATAACTTATAGGCTTTAGCCCTGTAAGTTCCTTTATCTCTGGGATGATCTGCTTATCACTTCAGCTCAAAGAATACACCTAAGGCATACAGTTTTATTTAAAAGAATAACGAAGCGTAATTTGTTTTTAAAGAACTAAAAGTATATTCGTAAGGGAAGAACATTTCCTGGCAATGTTTGCCACATATTTTTTTATAAAGTTGTTTTAAGCACATAACAGATGTATTAATAAATTACTATAATAATGAAAGAAGGTCAAGTTCAGTTTTATGATTAAACATTAAATAATGAGGGATAAGGCCGAGTAAAAAGCCTTCGTTCGGCTTCCGAGGAATAAATCCACGTCATCAGGACATTGACATTGTCATGAAAAAGGTTCGAAATTCGAAACGAAAAATTCGAAAGGTTGTAGGTTGAGATGGGGAGTTGTCCGAGTGGATCGAAGTCAGATAGCTCAAGTGGTAGAGCAGCAACGTATCTAACCGAAGGTCGTGGGTTCGAATCCCGCTCATGACACTGACTTTTTATCTCAACTAAAAACCTTAATTAATTGAAAAATAAACAAGAATATATTGCAATGTGCGTGTTTCACTTATGATGAAACGTATTTATAAAACACCGTAAAACTGCATTGTAAATTCAAACAAGGTCGTAAACATAATAATATTCGATATTCGGGTTCGAATCCGGCTCGGTGGCACTAACTTTTTCATTTAAACCAAAACCTTACAGAAAAAAAGATTAATAATTTGAAAAAGTAATTTGGTCAATAGATCATTTTGTTTAATATGGAACTATAATTTGAGGTCACAACATGATTAAGCATGAAATTAAATACTTTAATAAAATAAAACATTTTAAGGTTTCGTTAAGGGGAGTAGATTTCTATAAATCTTTTCGAAGGAACTAATTTTCCTTAATATATAGTTTTTCTAATACATAATAAATACACAATGTTGCAACAAATGCATTCATGTTTTTGCAGAAATGAGATAAATATTACAACTACGCATCCAATTTAATGAAATGATTGCTGATTGCTATATTTTAAAATATTCTAGTTTATTGCTTACAGAATGACAGTTCGATATTTGATGATGTGGTTTTGTTAGTCTTAATGTAGAACAGAATCCATATTAACACATCCATCTATCATCCGCATTCAGAATGCGATTCCTTCTCCTTGCTCCTGGCTATAGTACTACAGCTACATCTGTGCCGTGATTAATGACTGAGTTAATAAAGCTAACAATTTGAGAGGAACGGCTCGTCAAATTGATCCACATTTCGAAGTAAATGCATAATTCATTAGAACATTCTGTATCTGTGTCTCTCTAATGAATTTATTTCGTTATGGCGACCTGTTATCTCTTTTCTTATCATCCATCAATTTATTTAAACAAACATTCGACTATCTATTTAAATATTTCATATAGAATTTGTTAAGTTTCATTCATAGTCGACCTTCGGTCTTCTTGATATTAATTGCAGTCCACGAAAAGTCCGGTGGGCAAAGAAAAAAGAACTGTATTAATCTTATTAGTGCTTGACGTGAAAGCTGTGTTGGGAGAGATTTTCTGTCGAGGTTCCAAAGATATATCGCCTGTCCTTTTCGTGTCAAACCATCGACCCTAATACGGTTCCACAAATACTTTTTTCTCCTTTTTTTCTCACATTTTTTCTCACCATGATATTTTTAAGTTTTAGTCAAGCGGAATAAATTAATGAGGCAGAACGGACTTTATGACGAACGAAATATAAAAAGGAAAATGAACGTAAAATCTACATTTTTTTTCAATGAATTTTATGTGTGTAGCCATGCCAAAAGGGGATAGCTGTGGATTATGTGGCCAGTCAGATGTGGAACGTTTCAAACGTCCTGACTAAGAAGGAGTAAGAAGGATATGTTTATAAATGAAATATAATAATTCGACGAGCATTCATGTGAGACATTTACCACACAATGCGCACACTATCAAATGTGTTTTATTTAAACAAAATATAGTTTTTTCTTTTGTATTTTTGTGTATTTAATCTGTACAAAGACAGTAAAGAGCGATCAGAGCAATGAGAATGATTATGTAATTCTTTCTCCTTTGTAAGCTTCAATAGAACTTTGATAAAAAAATGTTAATGTCTTTCTATTCTGTCAGTAACACTAAAACAAAATGCGTATTTATCCTCGTATTAAAAATGAAAATCTTTTGTCGTATGTTTATATGATTTAATTTTTTTATGTGATTGTTGACGGAGTTATTTTGCAATGAAGACACACACTTACTGAGGTGAATTAATTTTTTTTTCTTCAAATGTATGAAAAAACGTGATTTATTAATATTCGTTAACGGGAGCTTATCCTTGGCTTAGTAATTTGTTCGGTGATGCCAATTGTTCGTTAGCTTTTCTTATCAAACTAAAGTATTTACTTCTACAGCTACAATTAAAATCAAATTACTGCATGTAGGGTTTGTTTGTAAAGTAAAATTAAAGTATTCTCTAAATTCGTGTATTTTGTAGTAGTTGTACTATAGTATATATTTCAACTGCACTTCCATAACCAAATGCGCTTATTGATTTAAGGAAAACATGACAATATTTTTTAAATTTACCAGGTAATTTTGCACTTTCTTAATTAGTTGGTAGTCGAACAGTAAAACTAAAAATATTGCTAATTAATATTTAGAAAAGTATTAACCACATAATTATTTTTAATGAGTGTAGTGGCAAGGCAAGAATCCATAAATTTTATTGTTGATAATAAGAAAAGGTACTTACCAAAGCGTCATGACGACATATGGCGTCCAGCACCATATAAAAACGAAGACGATTGTAACTGTCATACGAAGCGTCCTCGATCTTGCCCTTTCTATATTTGCCATATCGCTTCGTCTCAATGTCAGCCTTCCTCTTACTCGTTCCTCCCCGGGCTTGCACTCTAAAACATAACATTTAACGATTACCAGAACTAGTTCAAAAGAATACATTTTTACTTATAATGTATAACAGTTCAAGGGCCTAGAAAAAATAGTATAAATAATTTGTATTTCATTAATTAAACTGCAGGTGTTTCGCTATGACAACATGTAGATTTAAATTACTAAAACACAATATAGTAAATGAAACGATAACAATTTTATAAGTCAGTTTTGAATCTCAAAAATCACAAGCGAAAAAAAAATTAAAACGTCTCATTCGTCCAATTTTCATTTCTAAAAATACTTTTTCTTATTCAAATTCATTTTTCACCAACTCCATCACTAACAACATTGATTATAAACATGGACATCTTTAAAGAACTTCATTCATAAAATTTTACTTATCCTATTTTCACTTTCAAGTCATCCAAGATTTTCTACTTAGATCCTCTCAATCCCTACTAGTGTTTCTCAAGGCAAAATCATGGCACCACTCCTTTCTTCCAGGTACCCGTTCCAGCAAGCCTACAGTATAGAATTGTTCGCGCAAGAAGAATCAAGGATTCTTTAGGTTTGGAGGTGGTTAGGATTTTAAAAATCTTTTTCCTTTACTGCGACTGATAGATCTATAGTAGGACATCGATAAATTATACCCATACCCAGGAAAGAGTACTTTTTCCTCGTATAAGCACTTTCCTCAGTGCCTTTTTGCTCACATCTTTTGGTGTCAGAATTGTTTTACGAAGTGGCTGTTACTCGGGTAATGCTTTACTTTCACAAAGGATAAGTGCTGATGTCTCCGGTTTCTCCTGGCAGTGTCGGCATTTTTCTGTGACTGCTTTGCCCATCTTCTTTATGTGATAGTTAAGAGGGCAGTGGCCGGGTATAGAGGTTATTTTTCTCAAATCCTGCACCGCTAAGAGAGGAGTTTCTTGCCCATCTTTTAAGATATTTATAATTCTCTTAGCTTGCCTCATACCTGGTACTTTTGCCAAGTGTTTGAGTTTTTCTTTATCAAGCCATTTTTCCAGATTCATCTTGAACACATATTCCACTGCACGTAGCACTGGTTCAAGTCTCACGGGTGAGAGAGCTGCACCTTTTTAGGTTAGTTGGTTAGCCTGTTCATTTCCTTATTCACCTTATATCCGGGAACCAAATTTAAGATAATCGTGATTTTCCCAGAATCATTTGGTAATATAGGCACTCCCAGACAAATTTGGAGTGGTAAGCATTTTGTGTCTTTATGGCTGCCTGTCTGAGAGTTGGTAAATGCCTTTCACATTTTTACCAACTCCTATGCACATAGTTGTATTGCATTAAGATCAGCGTGGAGAGTTTTTAGGGTTAGCCCAAGGGGTACAGTTCGACGCTTTTACCTCTTCACCTGTTTCATCTTAGATCCATCTGTATACCGTATCAGGGTCTCTTCCTGCAACTTAAAGATACCGTACTTCCAGAGGTTTCTATTATCTACATCCACTTTGAAGGATGTGCCAAGGTTGAGTTTTTCTCTCATTTTGTCAGGTACCATATAGCCATCTCACTTATTTTAATTATTTTCCTGAATTTTGTGGGCCTCCTCCTTAGATCCGGCTTTACTTCAGAAAAGCCTTTTTGATTTTTAAGTAAATAAAAAAATTGTTCTATAATTTAATTTTTGGTCTTGTCTCCTCTTATGCCCTTTTAGATGTAAGGGAACATACCATCTACATTTCCAGTGATCTAATCCATACAGGTAAATAACGTGTAGAATTTATACACTCTTGCAATACCACTAGGACTGTCTCAAAGCATCTTCAATATTGAAATTGAAAGGTTTTACAATCTTGGGGACTGTCATACAGAATAAAGACACTAAATGCGTATGCTTTGTGATCCAAACAAGTCTGAGAATGTCCTGATTTCGGGTACCCCCATGGGACCAGAACCACAACTAGGGGCACCGATAAACGGCTTTGGAATAAAAGTACTGATGGAAAAAACACCAGGCCTAAGGTGTAATTCATAAAACTCTCAAAAAACAATATTAGAGGAAAGTTGTAGGCTTCTACACCGGCCACTGCTCTCTTAACTACTGAAAGATTAGTTAAGCAGTGACGAAACATCAGAAATTCATACCAGACACTGCAGTCATAAATTTATGCATAAGAAAGCCGACCTTTTAACTCTTTCAAACCGTTAAACAAACGTTTTCCACTAAACACCCTTGCGACGTGCTTAACGTCGTATGATTAAGGCCTTTGCCCTCTAAAATTTGTCCTACATTTCTTGATTTATATCGCCAACTTTCTGGGGTGTTGAAAGTTGATTTTTTTGCAATGGAACCACGCCAAAATAACCATATCTCTGGAATTTATTATATAGAACGTCCCATTGCGAACAAAATATTCGTTATTACGCGTAATGCGTGCCCAATACCCAATTATAATATGTAAATATATAATAATATGTGTACATAACTTTCAAATAAATGTTGATGTGGAATACATTCTAATAGTCATCCTTTCTATTGTTTGTCTTTCGGGAAAATTAACATTTAACATAAGTGAACTAATCATTAAAGATAAAAAATGACCAAAATTAGATTAGAATGTCCAAATCTGTCAGACGATTTTACGTTTTTACGTAAGTTGACTATCATAATGTCATATCAAAAAAAATTAAAATCTTTAGTTTCATGAGAAAAAAATCTTAACTGTGATTTAGACATTGCTGATAAATTTAGACATTACTGATGAAGCATTCAGAAGCAATTTACAATTAGAATTTTTTTAAAACTCGTATGGAAACATTGAAAATATTTGCCAACAACGAGACAGACAGACAGACAAGCACTTTTTAATCACTGGTGATAAGAAATTGAATAGGATGATCTGTTTTTTTCAGTAACTAAAGAAAACACGACGTGGATGAAATTTTTTTGACAAATTTTGAAGTAGTAAACCAAAAATAATAGAAAAATGGCTTAATTAATTCTTCAATAATATATTTTATTTGCATCTGGGTTGAGATCGTCTTAACACTTATCTTTAAAGAACGGTTACAGTTGTCCTTTACTAATTAAGAAAATGTTCTAGCAAAAAAAAAAAATGAAATGACACAATTTTCCCCCGTTTGTTTTCTTGTTTTCGTTCAGCCGTGAAAAAGACGCTTCCCGCTAATAAAAGCTCCGTTTAGAGGCATCCAGTGTTTTATTGTCAGCAATTGAAAACTTTTGCTATATTTATGGCAAGGCTCAAAAAGTCGAAGTGGAACATGCGGGGGCGGAGAATTGTTTATCATCGAAGGCATCGCCACTTTTTGCCCCTTCCGTTGGTTATTATTATGGCTTTGACAAAAACTCCATCGTCACCCTTAATGACTGTAATTCTCATTTTATGGAGGAGAGAAGAGTAACTTAAAACAACTCATAAACAATTGATTAGAAAATTTCAGTTTATAATATTCTTAACAGTTGTTTCGCTTAATTGATCTATGTTACTGTTCTAAATCATGTAAAAAGGTGAAATGCACAAATAAAATGAAAAGTTATTTTTCAACTTTTCATTATTATTGTATTATGCCTTGTTAATAAAGACATAAGCATATAAATAATGCAGAGTAAGAGCGTTAATAAAACTTTCATCTCATGAGTAATATTCACCTATGTTGCTTTCTAAATATCGTGGCCAAATTGTATTACTAAAACCTAGGAGGAGGGGAAATGAAGTCAATTATTTCTTAATCAAAGCTTGAAGTGATGAAAGAAGCGGAAAAGCAATTTTTCTACGTTCCACGTCAATTTTTCGGCCGAGTCACTTCTTGCCTGGTTGAGCTTTTGCCTATCGGGCTCGGAACAAAGTTAAAAATCTCAATCAAACATAATTGTCCTTAGTCGAGAAAGTTCACGTCACTCTCAAAATGGTATATAGTATAACCGTGATACATAAAATACGTAATGATTATTTCGAGATCGTGAGGGGCGGTCTTGTGTGACGTAGGTTTTAGAAAAACATTTTCTTTATCGTTTCAACTTTTCGATCTGTATTGAGATAATCTTCAGGGCTCAAAGTGTTTGTTTTCTGTGTAAATGTGTCATTATTAGGTATCGTGTTGAGAGTGTACACTTTGAGCATTGAAGATGATCTCAATAAAGTTCGAAACGTTGGCACGTAAAGAAAATGTTTTTCTAACACCTACGTCACACCTGACCGCACCTCACGATCTCCAAATAATCATTAACTAACAGTCACTAAATGCCACACAAAATTCATAATGTTGAACATGATGTTAGTGAGTTTTGTTTATGTTTTCGAGTTTTTTTATTATATTATAAATGTGTGGCGATTAGTGACCGTTAATCGATATTTATTTAGAAATCGTGAGATGCGGTCTGGTGTTATGTAGGTTTCAGAAAAACATTTTCTTTATCGTGCGAACGTTTCGATCTTTATTGAAATCATCTTCAGGGCCTGGGATTTACAAACATTGTTTACATATTACAATTACATTTTGGATGTGGAAAAGTGAATTTATACAATGCAAAAAGAAATACTTTGATTGAATATATAAAAAAAATATATTTTGCATTGTATAAATTCACTTTTCCACATCCAAAATGTAATTGTAATATGTAAACAATGTTTGTAAATCCTAGGCTCTGAAGATAATCTCAATAAAGATCGAAACGTTCGCACGATAAAGAAAATGTTTTTCTGAAACCTACATCACACCAGACCGCATCTCACGATTTCCAAATATATATTATAAACATTTCGATATAATTATTTTACAATTGTCTTTGTTATATTTTTATTATAAAAGTGTCAACGTTCAGCACAAGATTCCACGAAAATAATTATTCACATAATTATTAAACAATTTTGTTTGATATATTTTCATCTATAAGATGAAGATTCCATGAAAATCATTTTCATGTTACAAGTATCTAGTTATAAAATAGGCTTCAGTAGAATTATATGTTATTTTTGAACATGCCTAATACTTTCATATGAAGGTTTAAAAACATTGAATTGGA